GTAAATGTGATTATTTGAGTGACTTTTCAGGAAGAATGTGACAGGTTCGTGGTAAATTGGTCATTTAAACTTGACAGAGAAATGAGGCATCTTTCTAAAAGAGCTTCTCAGCTTTGTGTTTTGGGGTGATAACCTCCCCCGGGAATCTGCTGAAAGTCCTGGGCTGTGCTTATCAGGGTTTTAGTACAAGTTCAGGGAGCTCAGTGCTCAGTGGGAACCCGCTCTCGGGTGTCCATGTTATGCCATTGAAGTTGGGGAGCAACTAGCACAGCAAACAGGGCCTAATCCACCGCATAAGGAACTACAAACAGACCAGTGTCCATGTTCCACGGGCTCTGAAACTCACTGTGAGCAGGTATGTGAGAAAAGGTGAAGAAAGTCGTTATAATTTCCCGAGGACTGGTTTGGAGCTGGACTTGGGATGGACGGTATCCTCTCTGAGTAGCTTACTGAAAACCAGCAGGAATTGGAAATATGGAGGTCACCTTGTTCCAGGAGAATGGCGAATGTAGCACACGTGCCATCGGCTTGTCCTGGACTTGTTTTACTAAAGAAAGTGTGTTAAGAATCAGGGTTCATACTGTGCTCTCTGCTCTCCCCATCTGCTGCCCACCTCTCATTTTCTGCAACGCGGTTCAGCTGATGGCAGGCATTCCGGGGGCCCCTGAGCCTGGCGGGAAGGAGGGCATGGATTCGTGGCCCCGGACTGCCCTGCCCAGCCTCGCTGGCCGGCAGCCCCCAGCGGCTGTCTGTGGCTGGCAGAATGCTGGCCTCCCACGATGTCCATGTCCTATTGGACTGGAACTGGTGAATATGTTATCTTACATGGCCAAAGGGGCTTTGCAGATGTGACTAAAGGATCTTGTAATGGAGAGATTATTCCGAATTATTCAGGTGGGCCCGGTGTAATCACAGGATCTTTGTAAGATACAGCATTAGAGTATGCTTTGAAGTGTGGGAACAGTGGGTACCCTGCTTATCAGTTCATTGCTTACATGTTTTCCCAACTCCCCCACATTCTGAAAATGCTCTTCGAGTTACACTGTACTCCTCCTCGCTTGTTCCTTGAAAGTCGAGCGCGCTTGCGCCACATGGATGTATTCTGAGCCCTTGAACAAATGCGCGAAAGAGATGCCCAGAGCGCGATGAAAAAGACCACCCCTTGTTTCACTGGTGCGCATGCTCGTGGCCAAGCACCTTGGCCATACATGTCAGTGCTTCCTGTCAGCTTTCACTCTTTACCATAGAGCAGAAAACAGGAGGCTGCTTTCATAGGTGACCTGAGGTGCCTGGTAAATGAATGACGGTTTGCTGCACATAATGGAAGATTCCAACATGATAGAAAGTGTTCAAGGACCCGGAGAAATACACAAATGAAGGAAACCGGTGTATGAGAGTGTATGTAGTATGACGTCAGCTGGGGACATATGCAGGAAACAGAGGAGAGAAAATAAGCGAAAGTTGGAGTCCGGGGCTTCTGGACTATAGGAGACTTGACCTCCTTGCCTCGGCACTTCTCTGTCTGGATCCTTTACATTAAATTTAAGATTTGGAGAAGGGAGCTTCACATCCGGGGACCCTGTAGGTTTACTTCTGGGAAGCTTTTGAAAGAAGTAATGATAAATACAGATTACGGGCTTTATACACAGATGCTCCTTTACTCGGGGTTTTACAAATTGATAGAATTTGCATATACCATAAAATTCACCATTTAAAGCGTACAGTTTATTTGTTTTTGGTATATTCACAAAGCTGTGCCACCATCACCACTATTGAGTTGCAGAACTTTTTAAAAATATATATTTTATTGATTTTTTACAGAGAGGAAGGGAGAGGGTTAGAGAGTTAGAAACATCGATGAGAGAGAAACATCGATCAGCTGCCTCCTGCACACCCCCTACTAGGGATGTGCCCGCAACCGAGGTACATGCCCTTGACTGGAATCAAACCTGGGACCCTTCAGTCCGTAGGCCGACGCTCTATCCACTGAGCCACACCAGTTAGGGCTGCAGTACTTTTTTTATCACCCCCAAAGAAAGCCCATTCCCACCAGTACTCACTCCCATCCTTCTGTGCCCAGCCCCTGGCAACCACTGGTTTCCTCTCTGACTCTGGATTTGCATATTTCAGACATTTCTCATAGATGGAACCACACAGCACGTGGCTTCTTTAACTCAGCACGGTGACTTCAAGGTCCGTCCGCACTTGATTGTGTCAGCACTTCATTCTTTCCATGGCTAAATAATATTCCATTGTGTAGACAGGCCATGGTTTACGTACCCATTCATCCGCGGATGGCCTTGGTTGCTTTCACCTCGTGGCTGCGGTGAGTAATGCTGGTACGGCCATGCTTTTGTGCGGACGTGTTTCTGTTTCCCTTGGGTATACACTAGGCACGGAATCGCAGGGCCATATGGAAACTCTTTGTTTAACTGTTTAAGAAATCACCGAACTGACTTGCACAGCAGCTCTCATGAATATGTATACTAGTGCGAATGAGAAAGGGACGCCGCTGTCGGGAGGAGGACAGTGCTTAGTGAAATTGTCCTATCCCCGTAGCGGACTGCTGGGTCCACTTCCAAGGTGGTTCACTCCTCTGGCTGTGGGCGCTGGCTGTCGGCAGGAGGCCTCGCTTCTTCCCCATGTGCGCCCTCCGATGAGCTGCTTGGGCGCCCTCACCGCCTGGTGCTGGTTCCCCCAGAGCCAGCGCTCCCAGAGCACCAGGGGAGCAGGTGTGTTTTATGACTTTACCCCGGAGGCCACACACTGTCCTTTCCACAGTATCCTGTTGGTTGCATAAGTCAGCTCTGGTCAGCGAGGGAGGGGACCACAAGGACATGGACACCAGGAGGCACGACCCATGGGGAGCCCTCTTAGCGGCTGGCTGCCGTGGGTGCGGCTGCGGGCGCGTGTCCTGCACAGTGTGGTGGCTGCATCCCCGGAGCGGGCTCTGCGCTCCTCCCTGCTGTCAGCTGCCCCCTGTGCTGCGTGGGCCCCTCGCCTTCTAGCTCCCCACTTCTGCCTTGAGAGCCAGGCACCCCCGCACTGTCCCCGCTGCCATCAGGAGAGGGTGAACGGGCCCACATGTGGGCCCTGAGGACTGAGGAGACCCGCAGCAGGGACTTGGTCGTTTTTCTGTGGGTGCAGAGGCCGATGGCTCGCTCTGAGGGACCGATTCTGTGGTGCTCATGGTCTGTGGGTGCTCATGGCAGCTCCGCGCTTGGCTTAGAAGGGAAGTGGAATCAGAGATGTGGGTCGGATAGCAAGCCAGGATAAAATTCACCAAAATGGTGGAGGGATCAGTTTGTTTGTTTTTGAAGCAAGGAGGATAGAAGTGTTATTATATTTACCCGCATTGGTTATTGGACAGGAAATGGGGAAATATGAACTTATAATAGTTTTATAACAATTCTGAGCTGTAAAGCGAGTGAACTGGGCTCAGCGGTGCTGTGAGGTCAGGCCTCCCACCTGCTTGTTGATGGAGGAGCTCCTGTATGCAAACGTGAGATTCTGAGTGAGATCCTATATGTAAACGTGCTTAGAATGCGCCTGCGCTTGGGCATCTTTCTCTAGGCTTCTATGTGAATCTAGCATAGCAGAGAGGTGCTCAGAGCTCAATGTATCTTAAAGTAGCCTTGTTTGGGGTGCAGTTTGGTCCCATTCAGGACTTGAATCACACACAGACCCCTGCTGTTACCTGCTTGACTTGGAACCAGGCCACTGACACCATTGCCGACCCGACCTGTAAAGGAGTCGTGCTATAGACGTCGTGTTGTGGGATGGGGCCCGCACGCAACACACTCTTGCAATGGAGTCTTGAGTGCATCGTATTTGGGAGGATGTCCATGGCACATCGTAACTTCTGTATATTTCTGTCTTGATATTGACCCTATTTTCTTGAAACCACATGTTTAAAACGAAGACATTCTGATCAGGGCCGTTCCGATGGTGTTCAGCAATTTCTGAGAGTGACTGGGAGAGACGAAGCGTCATCGTCGAACCAGTTTGGGGGAATAACACGGTCAAAGCTTGCGGCTCTTGCGGGCTTTGGCCGCCACTCTCGGGCCAGGGACTGGAGCGGAGCACGTGGGAGGGTCTGAGTGAAATTGAGGTTACCGGCCCCCCACGCGCGCCAGCCAGTGTGCACTTATACCAGCTACCGCGTAGCGCTGCCCCGGCTCAGACAATACAGGTGTGGCCCGCTTTCTGCAAGAGCCGTCTTGTCAATCAGTGCGATCGCGGGGTGTGGGACGGGGGGCAGTTCTTATAGCGAAGCCCATCTGGAATGCCTGCCTTCATCTATCTGCGTCAAACCCTGGTTTTTAATCAGCGCCACTTCAAGGCGGGAGGCCTGCTGACAATGTGTTCTTGTTGTTTTCCTCGGAAAACGCAAAGGACCCTTCGCAACCTTGACTCCTACTGTATGGGGCGCCCGGGCAGTATTCAGTAGGCATCTCCTCCGATTGTTACGCTGCCCGTTTAGATTTTTGCGTTTGGTCAGTAGTTAATATTTAACTCCTTAGCTTAGGGCCACTGGTCATAGAAAGAGTCCATTTGGGGTAGATGGAAGCTGAAATGGATGGACAGCTGGGGCCGGGGGGTGGGGGGGAGAGCAGTTCACAGGGAACGAGAACAAAGCGGAGCTGCCGTCCTGCTGTGGACGAGCCGAGCCGCATTCCGCTGTCATCACCTCATTAAACACGCTGCCTGGGAGAAGATGCTTGTCTTACCTGTTCTGTAACTTTCAATATCTGTTTCCCTGGTACTTAAAGTTGCACTTTGAGATAATAATGCTTTTAACCATGAGTGTACTGATGTTGTGACTGATTATTGCTTAGGCAAAGCCGGTGATTTAATTTTCCAACCCAAAGTTGGGGCAAAAACCAGTCAATTAGATAATATATAATTACGCATTAAAACCTGATTCTGGAGTTGATTCGGCAAACTCACATGGAATTGACCTGCTTCTGAAATGTGCTTTTCTCATTTTTGTCTTGCAGGATAACAAAGCCCTTGACCTTTGCCGATTGTGTTGGGGATGAGCTTCCTTTAGGATGGGAAACGGTATATGATAAGCAAATTGGAATTTATTACATGGACCACATAAACAGTAAGTAGAGCGCCACATTTGAGGCATTATGTGTGAAGGAGTTTCCTCAAGGATGCTAAACCCTTTTTGTAGAGCAAAATGATCTTTACTGTCCAGTGCAACATTCAACTGAGTTTGATCCATGGAATCTGAAGTTTTCTTAAAAAAGTGAAGCAGTTACGTAGCTACCATGCCTGTATGCTGCTCGGGACTGCGTGCGTACGTCCAATGGAGGGTTTTAATATCTACTCTAAGGCACACATTTCCCAGGCAGTTTGGAACTAGACTATTTCTCACAATGAGAAGGTTGGTTATTGTAAAGTGGAGCTTACAGCTTACATGTTATTAGTACAATTAACTGCCCACCTGGTTACCTTAACTTCATTTTGGCTTGCATGTTTAATTTGAATACACCAACCCTTTTTGGTCTCTGCATAAAGACTATGGCTAAAATGGTGGGCCTTGACCATCAGCCTTCTTTATAGGACTGTTCAGAGCAGTGGTTCTCACCGGGGCTGATGTTGCCGCCCAGGGACACTTGGTCATTACCTGGTAATACTGGATTGTCACGCATAACACAGGTGGGCAGAGGCCGGCGCACTGCCAAACCTCCTACGGTGCACAGAACGGCCCCACAAGAGAATGGGCCGACCCCAAATGTCAGGAGTGCCAAGGGCAACACACCGTGCTTCACGGGCCCATTTCATTCGAGACCTTTTCCACCCCCTCTGCCTCTTCTTCAGCCTTCCTCAATGGGGAGTCATCTGGGGACCCAGTTCCCTCTTAGGTCCACACTTTCTCATTCTAGTGTTTCTGTCATTGTCATTTTTATTGCCGAGGGACATGACTTCCCTTTCCTGTGTTTCTGTCCTCTGGTTTGTTAGCTTCGGGGCAGTCTGGGAGCGCCTGAGGGTGCACCATTCCACCACAGGAGACTCGGGCTCTTTCCTCACTCTGGTCCCCTGGCTCCGCTTGTCCCTTAGTGTGATTGGCCCACGGCGGCGCCTTTAGGATTGATTCCTTGCCCACTCACTTCCTGAATGGCAAACCTGATTGGCAGCCATGTAGTTCAGAGTGGTCCCCCGACCCAGATATTTCATCTGAATGTCAACTGTAACCGAAAAATAAGAAATAAAACCCAGAAGCAGTTTGGATACACATCATTCACGGAGGGTAGCATTGTTGTCAGGCCACTCCAGGTTAGATGGTTAAACAAGAAAGCAACAAACTCACTTAGCACCTCAAACGCTTCAAAGTACTCCCATGCGTGCTGTTTGCTCAGAGTGTGCATAGAAACGGCCTAACCTGAGAATTCCTAACTCACCTGAAGCCCTTCAATTACAATGGAAGAAAATGAGTTCCAGAAATTGCATTAATCTGAAATGCACCTTTTCAATACGCAACAGTTTTTTTAAATCGTTATTTTCTCTTTCCCTTTTATGTTTGTTCTAATTCTATTTATTGAAATTTAATTTTATGTTCATCGAATCAGATAATAAAAAATTTGAGCTAAAAGAAAAAATCTGACCGGCCAGGCTTCCCGTGTCAGTCCTGGGGCAGTGGAGTTTCTGAGACGTGGCGCTCGGCCTTGCTCTGGTGTGGCTCTTACCCAAAGATTGGGCACCCGGGAGAGGCCCGGCCCGGCCCGGCCTCCCAGGCAGGTATCTGGGTGGCAAGAGGGCTTCTAGGTGGATCCATCACCTTGGCTGACCTGGTACCTCGAGTCTGTGTGTGTTTGGGGTGTCTGAGCTTGCTTTTCCAGGTGCTGCTGGGAGCTCCCACAGGTGAGGGCCGCTCCCACAGGGGAGGCAGTTCCCACAGGGGAGAGCCCCTCCCACAGGGGAGGGCAGTTCCCACAGGTGAGGGCAGTTCCCACAGGGGAGAGCCCCTCCCACAGGGGAGGGCAGTTCCCACAGGGGGAGGCCACTCCCAGATGCGAGGGCCGCTTGGCCAGGCCTCTGGCCTCTGGGCCTGCGCACACCAGGCCTCACCCGCAGGCCCTGGCCTCCTGGGGCCAGGCGGTATGACTGAACAGCATAGGCATCTGCCTTACACAATCTTTCTGGAAAGCCTGCCTGCCTGCCGCTGAGGCCGGGACCTGTTCTGGCTCGTCTCTTGTAAACTCAGCCTGCTCATTCCTCCGCGCGGCTCGTCTGCTTGTCTGCGTGCTGAGTCACAGCAGGTGTTAGAGAGCGCGTCTCTGTGCCGGCCACTCTTCAGGCCCTGGGGACGGGAAAAGTGAGACCCGGTCTCCGCCCTCCAGGACTCCACAGGACACTCTAGACATTAGGACTTTCTTAATGCCTCCTTGAGCACAACTGGGAGGAGCCAGCGCCTGGGGCACCCACCTCTTCCCTCTGGGGCCTTCAGAGAACCCACCTTTTCCCCCAGGAACAAGAAAGGTTATTGTTGTTGTAATAATTTGTACATAAGGGGCCAAAGACTCCATTCAGAAAACTTGCTTCTGAGAACACAACTCTTTTTTTTTAAATGTATTTATTTTTATTGATTTCGGAGAGGAAGGGAGAAGGAGAGGTAGAAACATCAGTGATGAGAGAGAAACATCAATCGACTGCAGGGAGAGAAAGCAGAGTGGGAAATGGGGAGTTGAAGGGCGGGAGGAGACGGCAAGTCCATGGGGAATGCAGGGCTGCACGGTCTGGTGCGGGAGGGGGAGGGGAGCAGGCCAGGTCAGAGGGCAGCAGAGCCTAGGCACCCTAGTCAAGAGGTTGGTGAGCGGAGGGCTGGAGATCTGTGAGCTTGACCGCCATGAGCTCTTTTGGTTCATCTCTGCCAACATTTCTTTACAGTGTGAAAAATTGTCTGGTATTGTCTTCCTCTGTCCAATGAATAATTTCATATCTGTATAGTTTTCTCCTCATTTTAATTGTGCATATAAAAATAAAGGTGTTCGCCTACCCGGCGTGGCTTACTGATTGAGCATCTACTCATGAACTAGGAAGTCAGGGTTCGATTCCTGGTCAGAGCACATGCCTGGGTTGCAGGCTTGATCCCCAGTAGGGGGCATGCAGGAGGCAGCCGACCCATGATTCTCTCTCATTGATGTTTCTATCTCTCCCTCTCCCTTCCTCTCTGAAATCAATTAAAAATATATATTAAAAAAATAAAAATAGAAGATGTTCCACACTTTAGGAAGGTTTGTTATGTAGATTTCATAGCATGCGTTCTGGTCATTCATTTTCTTTCTTTTTTTAAATATATTTTTATTGATTTCAGAGAGAGGAAGGGAGAGGGAGAGAGAGATTGAAACATCAATGATGAGAGAGAATTATTAATCAGCTGCCTCCTGCACGCCCCCTACTGGGGATCAAGCCCGCAACCCGGGCATGTGCCCTTGACTGGAATCGAATTCAGGACCCTTCAGTCTGCAGGCGGATGCTCTATCCATTGAGCCAAACGTGATAGGGCCTGGTCATTCATTTTCATACTCACTAGTGCCATAGCCGCCTGACTCTTGGTCAACCTAAAGATCTGACTTTGAAGTCCCTTCCATTCTTTGTGTGTGTGTGCCTGTTTGATTTCACTCACGTCTTATGCTTTTAATTTCAGAGCTCACCCAGATCGAGGACCCCAGAGAGCAGTGGAGACGCGAGCAGGAGCGGATGCTGAAAGAATACTTAGTGGTAGCCCAGGAGGCTCTCAGTGCCAAGAAGGAAATCTACCAGATTAAGCAGCAGCGGTTCGAGCTGGCACAGGAGGAGTTCCAGCATCTGCACAAAATGTGTGAGGACGACAGCCGCTCGCACGCCAGCTGTGAGTTCACTGGCGCGCCCGCTTAACACATGTGACTTTAAAAGCCATTTCTCTGCTGGCTTCTCTGCAGACACCAAACTTTACTCGGGCAAGACAGCTTCATGAATTTCCTGTTCGTGTCTGTTAGGCCATCGGTGTGCTGCCCTGGGATCGGGTGGTCATCCGCCAGCCTCTCCTGTAGCAAACACTTACCAAGTGCATACAGTGGCGCCTAACAGAGGAAAGGGCCCTGCCCTCGCGGCGCTTACATTCAGGCGGGGAAGAGGGGAATAAGCCAATTTCAGGGAGTGACACGAAGCAACCTTGTGTTTGTCGGCGTGGGAAAGGCCTTCACGGAGACCTGGGCAGTTAGCGCTGTGTCGCTGAGCCTCGGGAAAGCCACACCTGGTTCTGTGGATCCCGGATGGAAAGATCAGGCACCTTCCCACATGTCGTCGAGTACCTGTCTCTGTGTAGGGTCCTTTCGTGAGCCACCCCCGAAGGTAGAGGAACACCGTATAACCCAGGGAATCGGGGAACTCTCTCTGCCCCTCAAGCTAGATGGACACACACTGATGTCCTCGGAGGGAAACCCTTTCCGTTTGGGAGGCTGCAGAGGAGGCCCCGTATCACGGGTGCTCAGCAGATCCTCGGGGACTGGAGGAACCAGGTCCTGCCTCGGAAGGCAAGGCATTGTGGTGCCGACCCAGTCAGACCCTTCCCGGCAGAGCTGCCACATTTCGCAGCCACCGCAGGCGCGCACGGCCGTGACTGTCCTGGGTGCCAGTGAGCTTGGGGAGAATGTTAGAGTCGGTCCCAGCAGCTTTCACTTCCTGAAAACCTGAGTCTAGTTGACACGTGGAAAGACCTACCTGTGACATGCCGGCCAGAGTGCCAGGCATTCGGCTCTGGTGGCCCAGCTCTGAACATGAGGACATGGTCAAAGCTTTTATCCAGAACGGACTTAGGGCTAAGGGGCCCTAGGCCTTTCTATGGCAGCTGCTGTGGAGGGTGAGTAAGCCGCATGAGGAAGAGCGAGGCGGGGCTTCTCCCCCACCCGGAGCAGGAATCTAACGTGGTCTCCTACCGCGTGCCTTTCGAGAATGCAGGGCTGCAGGTCTAATGGCATGTTGTTTCCAGGCTGTTTTCTCTCATTCTTCAGATACTGGTGTGTCCTAGGTGGCTTTTGTATTTTGTTTAACTGCCCATCAGAACGCAGTGAGTCACCTTCATGCCAGCTTCAGAGGCTGGGTTTTACTTTAAAAATCTCCATAGTTTTCCTTGTAATGTCTTCCTCTGATTCTGGTATCGGGATAACACTGTCCGCACAGAATGAATTGGGAAGTGTTCCCTCCGCCTCGCTCTTCAGAAAGAGTTTGTGTGGGGTTGGCATTAGTGCTTCCTTAGCCACGTGATAGAATTCTCCAGGAAAGCCACTGGGGCCTGGAATTCTTTGTGAGAATGTTGTTAAGTACAGAATCGGTACCTAGAGTAGATACAGGTCTGTTCAGATTTTCTATTTCTTCTGGAATCAGTTCCAGTATTTGTGTGCTTCAAGGAATTTGTCTATTTATCTAATCTGACCGTGAGTAAACTTTTCTCTGAAGGGGTCAGAGAGTAAATATTTTCAGCTTTGTGGGCCACATGGTCTCAGCGGCAGCTACTCAGCCCTGTTGTTTCACTGCAAAAGCAGCCAGAGACAATGTGTGTGGCTTGTTCTGATAAAAGTATAAAAAACAGGTAAGGAGCTGGAATCAGCCCCCAGGGAATTAGTCAAGTTTGTCAAGTTTTCGCAGAGCTCCCTTATAATTCTTCTAATTCCTGGAGGCCCTGTGGTGGGGTCCTCTCTTTCATTCCTGACATTTATCATTCGTGCCTTCTTTTTTCTCTTAGTCAGTGTAGCTACCCTTTTATCGACTGTATTTATCTTTGCGATGAACTGGCTTTTGGTTTACATTCCTCCACCCCCCCATTTCTTGTCTATTTTCTATTTTATTGCTTTCTTTTCTTTATTATTTTCTTCCTTCTACTTAGTTTGGCTTTAATGTATTCTTCCTTTTCTAGCTTCCTAAAGTGAAAACTTAGATCATTGATTTCAGACCTTCCTTATTTTCTCACATAGCCTCTAAAGGTAGAAATTCTCCTCTAAGTATCACTTTACCTGCATCCCTCAACGTGTGGGGTTTTCCTCTTCAGTCAGTTCAGGATATTTTCTCATTTCCTTTGTGATTTAGTTTTTTGACCCCGGGGTTCTGTGAAAGTAGGTTGCTGGGGCTTTTTAAAGATGTCACGTTGTCGATTTCTAATTTAATTCCATTGCGGTCAGAGATGACACTATGTAAGATTTCAGTTTGCTGAAATCTAGTAAGATGACTTTGATGGCCCAGCATATGGTCCCCTTGAACTGATCTCATAGGATTGGCAGCCCATGGCCTTGGTGCCTCGAAGTCACATCTAGTAGAAGTGCTGGCCTTTCACTGTTTCTGAGAACATTGTGTTAGCGATTCTCAACCTTTCAGGAAGTTGCTTGGTAGAAGCTCGGTTGAACCATAGAAAATTGTCATTTCTGTAGCTTCAGAAGGGCTTAATATTGGTCCCTTCATATGATTCCACCCCATAGAGTTTCCTCCCAGTAGCACCTTATCTGTTCCATGGTCCCTTTTGGTCGGGTCTCCAAAGAGGCTCTCCAATCAGTGTTTCCCAGAATGCTACGGGAGAAGGAGGTAGCAGAACAACTTGGAGGGAAGTTTCTTGCCAGTGATTGAAAGGAAAACTTGCCTAGGGAAGAAGGTGTGTCTCACCTATTGGCTCCTCTGCCAGTGCAGCCAGTGAGCTTGGGGACTCAGGACTGGAGCCCTCACCAGTGCAAATATAGGAGGACCTATTGCAGCCTGCAGATTGCACAGCCAGCTGAGGGAGCGAGGGAGGAACGCACCCCGCCTCGTGGCCACTGAGAGAATGTGGGGCCTGGTTCAGAACCTGTGGTCCTGTGGAGCTGGGACATCCCTCAGCGGCCAGTTTTCGATTTCCAGGCTTGTCACTCCCTTCACACTGGGGCCAGTAGGGAATCATTCTGGGCTCCATCCCTCCCCGAGCTCCATGGGATCTGATGGATGCCCAGGAGAAAAGGGGCGCTGATGATGCTGTCTTCCAAGTGGCGTCTGAAGAAACCTTCAGTAGAGGAAACAGGCGACTGCGGTGTCGACTTGAAATTCTAACGTGCTCCTCAGACTCCGTTTCCCGACCACCACAAGCCCCTGCCTAGGCGCCACCTCCGCATCTGTGCGTGTGGGCTGCCCGGAGACCAGGTCGGGCCTGTCTTCATAACGGGCTGGGGAGGCCAGCGGGTCTTGCTGGGTCCTGTGTCAAAGACCGCGGATGGAGTCTGGAAGGAGTCCAAGCGGTTCATCAGGCTGCTGCGGTCCCTGGGGCTTTGACCCCCGCTCTTTCTATTTGCCGTTTAATCTGAACTGCCAGCTGCAATGAGAAAAACTCTTAGATGTGACTCAAATGAATTCCTTTTGGCCACGGGATCAAGTTCAAGACAGTGGTCCTATATTGGCTTGAATCGTCATCATCTAACAGGTGTCACCTATAGGTCTGGGCCCACGTCGGGAGCTGCTGATGGAAGGATCTGTAGCATCCCTGGGCAGCAATCGGCCGCACGGGCCTCACAGCCCAACTTGCCCTCAGTGCTAGTCAGTTAAAGCGGGGAGGCGCGCCCTTGCCCTGGTCCTAGGAACAGAATAACACTTGGGCTTGCTTCCCATGATTCCCTCATCGTTGGTAACTTGAAGCTAAGAGAAGCAATATTTAGCGAACTAGAGTTTCTGGGCATGGTTATGATAGCAACATTGTGAAGCACGTGGTGTTACCTCCACTGGACACACGAGGAACTGAATGTTGGAGAGGCCGAATTCCTTTTTCAAGGTTACGTGCCCAGTCAGTGGTAGAACTTGGATTTGAACCCACATCCGGTTGTGCATGTAGCCTTCAGTGCTCTGTGCCCTTTCCTAGTCACGGCAGAGGCAGCTCACAAGAGCCGGCGGGGTTTTTGGAACCCCTTGCCCTGCCATTGTCCAGGTGACCTGCAAATACAGACCGGCTGTAAGCTGACAAGTCATCGGACTGTTTTGCAACACTAAATGGGGCAAGTGGAAGCAGAGCGCTTTCTGCTTTTTGACTTTCTCATGGCCCACGGTAGGATTGCTAAACTGTTCATTTAGTTTTCAAAGATATTTATGTGGCACCTGGTGTTGGAATACCCTAAATGGTGCGGACCTGATTTATCCCTAATGGCTGGTTATAGGGGGAAATGAGGCCATGATGGGGGACGGAAGCATGAACTAGAATAGCCATTTCTAGTATTGGAGCAGAAGGGGATAGAGGAGGGCGGGATTTCCCTGAGTTATGGGAATCACCAGAGCAAAACCCCATTCGTTGGAGAGAAAAGATCTGGTGTTAATATTGTACCATCTGGTACCTAAGAAAATCTAGGTCATTTTTGTCGCTGACCAAAGCAGACTTAGGCACTTGGCTGGGACACAGATTTGAGCATAAGGTTAAAAGAACCCGGCTTGATTTGTGTGAACCGGTGCGCTAACCGTTCAGTACCCAGTCCCAGTACGTTTTCTGCAACTCCATTTTGTAGAGTTTTCCCCTACTGTCTTCATGCTGATATGTCCTTCTCTTTGCCTTCTCTTTTTAATGCTGAACACATTCGTTATTTCAGAAACTTTTTTTCTGGAGTTAACGTTTTCATTCATCCTTCCCGAGAAGCTCTAGCCTCCGGATGTGTTGAGCTGAAGTTTTGACCATTTGCAGCATCTTTTTTTTGGGGGGGGGGGATGCTTGCATGGGGTAAATTATAGTCTGAACCACAGGCCAACAAATTACGGATGGCCCACAGGCTAAGCACTGTCCACTCAGGGTATTTGTGAATAAAGTTTTATTGGAACGCAGACACGTCCATTCACTTACCTATTGTCTATAGCAGCTACAAGGGGAGAGTTGAGTTGAGACAGAGACTGTATGGCCCCCAAAGCCAAAAATACTATCTGGCCCTTCGCAGAGAAAGTGTCGCAGTCCCTGGTCTACACCAGTCGTTCTCCACGCTGCCCGGCTGCGCACAGTCTCCTGAGAGGCTGGTAAAAACTGCTGCTGCCTGGGTACAGATTTGGGTTGAGTGGGGCCAGACATTTTTTACAAAGCTTCCCAAGCGATTCTGAGAGTTGAGACCCACTAGTCTAGATGGACTCTTTCAGCAGCAGAAACATGGCTTCCTATGTTACCCTGGCTCCCAGGAGCTCCCAGAAGTCTACACCAGGTCTCTTTGGGTGGCTGGGAAAGAGCCGGCCTTATCTCTGTTGGGAAAGTGCTGATCCACCCTGAATTCCTGAGTTAGGTGGTGGTGAAGCTTGACCTTATCAGCCATCAGTCCTGCCAACATTCTTTCTGAAGCTCCAAGGCCCTCCCACAAAGACTATCTTCCTTTAGTTCTCTGCTGAAGGCTTTCTCATCATCTACTATCTAGATTAGGATAAGGGCCAACGTCCATCCATTTAGCCTTTTGTTTTCCCTCCTGCAAGCATGTCGGAGCAGGCAGGAGAAAAATGGATCGCGCAGCATTTTTCACAGGTATTAGTTGGCAAGAGGCAGTCTCGAAGGTTGTAGCAGAGCACGCATGTTTACTGAGAGATAATCCCCTCCTCTGCTCTAGACGGGATTCCTGCTTGCGATTTGGTGGCTTCTTGCTTGCTTCTGTGGGTCTCGAGTGGGCTGGAGTTTTTTTTGATCCTGTGCTTACAGTGCCTTTTAAAAAATGTTGTGCCCTCCTTTGTTGGCCTGGTTATCGCTGCTCTGGTAATTAGTACCTGTCAGCGCGGAGTCTGTCGGGGCCTGCCTCCTTTCCACCAGTCTCCCCCGGCTCCCCGGAGCAACCCCTCCAGTCTGAGCCTGGAGGCGCACCTGGTCTTGAGGAGCTGTCTGTCCAGGGAATGGCTTTGAAGAAGGACTACTGGTCTTTTAAAGCATTTCATCCCCCTGGGGTGTGACCTTCACTTCTCACACCACAGAGGAGGCCTGCGGGGAAGAGAGAGAGAGAGAGACAGACAGACAGACAGACAGACACACAGTTCCCCCTGTCAGTACCCTGGGGGTGGAAATCCACCATCAGTATTGTGGTCTGCAGCATTTTGAGTGTTAAATACACAGGTCTGGTTCGCTTAGTGGGCAATGGGCTTTGGGGAGCCGAGGGGCCATTCCTTCTTACGTTGAAAAAGCTAATCTGATTAAAGGATGTTGGACAGCTGACCCGTAGCAGCCCAAGTTCCAGACACAAGTGCCTCTGTGACTTAATGGCATAATGCAGATCAAGTCCCTGCAAACTCAGTCTTTAATCTCTAAAGTGGGGGGCATAATCATCATCGCTCACAAAGATTTTTATGAGAATAGATGAAATAAGTGTGAAAGGCACCCTATAATAGCAAGGTACAATAATTTACATTGTTGTGGTCCAGCTAAACTAAAACCGTGTGATTATATCATCCCAAACAATGCGTAGACCTGAGTGGACTCCTTAAGCTGTTTAATAGCTCTGCCCACTCAGCTCTTCAAGAGAGAAGAAAGCTTCAGAGGTGAAAGTCTGGTATTTATCGTAAGCCCCGAGATTGCAGACATGTCTTAACAGAGGAAGGTAGTTCTTTTTCTAAATGATGTACAGCGCATGCTGTTAAAAATGGGGTCTGGAGTCCTGAGCTATTTCTTAGACTCCAGAAATGGATTCCATTAGACTTGCTGGCAGACATAAGGAATGGAGAATTTGTAGAAATTGAATTATATTATTAAAAGCTACGCCAGTGTTCACAACTCCCCTTAGCGTTTGAAGATAAGATGTACTCATCGTCTTAGGTACCTGAGTGGACTTTTCCCTCATCTCTGTCCTGGAATTTTATAATTTTAGAGCAGCAGTTCTCAACCTGTGGGTCGCGACCCCTTTGGCGGTTGAACGACCCTTTCACAGGGGTTGCCCTAAAACCATCCTGCCTATCAGATATTTACATGATGATTCATAACAGTAGCAACATGACAGTTATGAAGTAGCAATGAAAATAATTTTATGGTTGGGTCACAACATGAGGAATTGTATTTAAAGGGCCAGAAGGTTGAAAACCACTGTTTTAGAGGCTGTAGCAAAGGTAACACGAAGGATATCAGTATAAGTAAAACCTAGTGTGGCATTCAGGGTGGTTTCAGCTGTAAGTCATAGAAAAGATGAGCTTCCATGGGCCTGCGCAGTAGGGAAGCGCGTTGTTCCAAAGCAGTCCTCCAGGTGGGCGGCTTCCTGTTGGTGGCACTGGTGGCTCCAGGATGTCGTGTTTCCTCAGGCTCTGCTTCCAGGACCGGTTACGCCTGGGTCTCCTGGGGGAGAGGTGGGCACCGGGCAGTGTCAGGGTGCTGCGAGTTCGGAAGGAGAGGGTGCAGGTTGCCATGTATTTGTCCACTTGTACCTGCTCCACCTCCCGTGCGCACTGCAAGTTTTGCGGCCGTGATCTGAGATCATTGGCACGGAGGTGAACATGGCGGTTAGCTTCCCTAGACTTTGGGGGTGGCCTTACTTCTCCCCCAGTGGGTACGTTCTCCCTCACTCGGAAGGTGACAAGTTGACGCAGTGGAAGTGAGAAGTCAGCACAGCCTGGCCCATGCGCATGCTATCTGGGTCCCACGTGGAAGCCCCTTCAGCTCAGGTCTGAGACACTGAAGTCCCAGAAGTTGAATGTGGAGATTTTATAGAAATGATTCATCACCGATCTTCAGTGAAACCAGAGTCAGACGAGATAGAAGTTGCAGGATTTGGAAATAGACATTCTTCGTCTGAGAAAGAATTCCATCTTAAAAACATTTTGCTCCATGTCTGGAGAGATTACGATTGGAAATATAAGAACATAAAGTTGGCAAACACGTAGCTCCTCCTGACATTTATTTCCAGTGGATTCCAGTGGTTCAACATTCTGACTGATGGGGGCTTACAGAGGAGATTTGCCATAGAACTGGTTTTTTTTTTTTTTAAATATATATTTTATTGACTTCAGAGAGAGGAAGGGAGAAGGAGAGAGAGAAACATCAATGAGGAGAGAGAATAATGGATCAGCTGCCTCCTGCACGCCCCCCACTGGGGATCGAGCCCACAACCCAGGCATGTGCCCTGACTCAGAATCGAACCGTGACCTCCTGGTTCATAGGTCGACGCTCAACCACTTAGCCACACCGACTGGACAGAACTGTATGTTTTTTTTAAAGGAGACATCAACTGCTCCAGTTAACTTTGAGAATACTGTTGGGGCTAAATAACCTTGCTGTGGAAGCCACTTGGCCTTGAGCCCCATCCTCCAACAGAAAGTCAGGACATGGTTTTGAACTGGTTTCTAGACGTTAGCACCTAGTGATCTCAATGACAGCCCTCGGACCCCGGATGGAAGGAGTGAAAGAAGGGTCACCCGCCTGCAGATGGGCCTTCTGAGCGGGTGGCGATAATGAGAATGACCCAGAGGCTGATGCCGCCAGTGTGGGGTGGAGACGGAGAGCGCTCCACGCTCAGGGAGGGCTAGAAACCAAGTCACTGCGGCCCCCAAGCTGATGGCTTCAGAAGCCTCAGAGCAAGGACACGGAAGCATGAGGAAATAGCCTTGCGCAGGGCCGCTAGCTGCTCCAGCTGCTGAAAGGGCAGAGGGGCTGAGAGCTCCCGCGCAGGACAGTGGCTGACTGCTCCCCACGCACAGGTGACGGGCTCTGCGAGCCTCACTCACGCCCAGGTATGGCTACTCGGCGTGACGCCGTGTCGGTGGCAGGAGGTTAGAGCTCCTGCTCTTCTCCGTTTAAGAACCCATGTCCCTGCGATGCGCTTTCACCAGCCAGCCGTCAGCGCCGAGCTGCTGGAATGCAGGGCGGCGCTCCTCTGCGGTTCTGTGCAGCAGGCCGCCTGCGGGCACAGGCGCGGGGCTAGAAAGCCGTCTTTCTCATTTCCTAGACCTTTAGTATCTGTTTTCTCTCTTACGTCAAAAATTGTTCATCTGGGGACTGTAGATGTGACGAAAATAAAACTAAAATCTTTTGTATTGAAAAGGACCACCGTTGACTTTTTGGCTGTATCCTTCCCAAGACTCCCGTGTGCGCGCATTTTATTTATTTATTTTTAAAAATATATATTTTTATTGACTTCAGAGAGGAAGGGAGAGGGAGAGAGAGAAACATTCATGATGAGAGAGAATCACAGATCGGCTGCCTCCTGCACGCCCCACACTGGGGATCGAGTCCGCAACCTGGGCCTGGGCCCTGATCGGGGATCGAAGCTCGACCTCCTGGTTCATGGGTCAGCGCTCAACCACTGAGCCACGCCGGCCGGGCTGTGTGGGCATTTTAAAAGAGAGGAAAAATGATCCCTAGTGTGCGTACTGTTTGCACAGTAAGAGCAATTTTCCATAATCATACCTTTCCCTCCTCCCGCGCACGTGGTGTTTAAGCCGCGGAGCTTGCAGCGGAAGTCAGCACGGTGTGCTTTACCTGCAGCGTCTCGTCTCTGATGGGGGGTCCTGCAGGCAGGCCTCATGCAAAGATCAAACACCCAGATTCGAGGCTGTGAAGTGTTGATTCTTCAGGAGCCAGTACCAACTTGTAAAGCTGAGACTTAACCATTTCATGTGGAGAATCAGAAGTTCCTGTCTGTGTGCATTTATTTATTTTAAAGGATCCTTTATAAAATGCAATGTTTTCCTTCTGTTTAGCCTACTCTGGATATTCAACAAACACAAAGTACGACCCACACCAAATTAAAGCAGAAATAGCCAGTCGCCGGGATAGGGTGAGTAACACGGTGCCCGTATGTACTTTTACGTGACCTTGCTTATCATGGTTCATTTTCGGGTGGCCAGTGTGTCTGACGCCCACGTTTCAGTGTGATTTTCGTTTCACGGATTATTATTATATTTGTTTGTACTCTCCACTCTTTTCCAATAGGAGGGCAGCTATTTCATTTTAAACCGTAACCTGTGTTCCCTCCTCTTAGCACTTCAGCCCCTTGTCTTGCTGGCCTGGGGAGGGCTCTGTTTTGTTGCATTTGCATCAAAACATGGGAGACCCCTTGGAAATGAAGCCCCCTGCTGTGGTGTGTCTCAGGTTCTAGCGCACCTCAGAAATACCCCTGGGGAGTCGGTTAACCCTGTGAGCCCCCCCCCCCCCCCCCGCCAGCTTTAACACAGGCCTGGAGCGGGTCCCAGAATCTGTTGAATAAGCACCAGGCGATGGGAGGAGACCGCGCTCGCAGCTGCAGGGCCTCCTCCGTGGCTCTGTGCGAAGCAAGTACAAGGGAAGATGGGCGAAGTGTTACACAGTTTGCTAATTGTCATGAACAGGTCAATACCTTGAGAAAGAAAGTAGTTGCGCTTTCACGTGGACCGGAAGTGCTAGGGCTTTGGGATGTAAGCAAGACAGTTCTTCCAGCGCGGCTGTTTTATTTTATTTTATTTATTTTGATTTTATTTTATTTATCCTCACCCGAGGATATTTTTAGAGACAGTGGAAGAGAGAGGGAAAGACAGAAATATCGATGTGAGAGAAACACATCGATTGGCTGCCTCCTGCATGAGCTCTGACCAGGGCTCAGGCCAGGGAGGAGCCTGTAATTGAGGTATGTGCCCTTGACCGGAATCGAACTGGCTAGGGCTATTTTATTTTTTAATGAAAAAATATTTTTATTGATTTCAGAGAGGAAGGGAGAGGGAGAGAGATAGAAACATCAATGATGAGAGAGAAACATTGATCGGCTGCCTCCCGTACACCTTACCTACACTGGGGATTGAGCCTGCAACCAGGCATGTGCCCTGACCGGGAATTGAACTATGACCTCCTGGTTCATAGGTCGATGCTCAACCACTGAGCCACCCAGCCGGGCCAAGGGTGGCTGTTTTATGCGTGTGAATGGCAGTTCATGGAGAGAGTAGATCAGCGGTTCTCAACCTGTGGGTTGTGACCCCTTTGGGGGTCGAACAACCCTTTCACAGGGGTCACCTAAGACCACCAGAAAACACATATATAATTACATATTGTTTTTGTGATAAATCACTCTGCTTTCATTATGTTCAGTTTGTAACCATGACATTGGGGGTCACCACAACATGAGCTGTATGAAAGGGTCGCGGCATGAGGAAGGTTGAGAACCACTGGAGTGGATGGTCCCATGAACGGCAAGCTAAGCAGGAACGTCAGTGACAGCGAGAACAACTGTAGAAGTCATTTTTCACAGCAATTTTTGAAGAAACTGTTATTTGTCTTTAGCTTTCCAGGTTAAAGCGAGAGCTGGCGCAGATGAAGCAAGAGCTGCAGTGCAAAGAGAAGGGGGTGGAGACTCTGCAAGAGTGAGTGGCCCGCGGTGATGGAAGGGAGCGGGGCCCGTGTTCCCTTTCGTGCTGACCTCTTGGTGCCTGGGCATGAGCCCTAAAGCTTCCTGGGCGCCCGCTTCTAGGATTGTGTTTCCGCTCATTACTTCCTGACCCCGAGCATAGGAGTCTCTGCCTTAAAGACCCTTGGTTCCTTTAAGTGGAACTCTTTGGAAACCAGACTTTTATTTGATATTTGTCTACATTCGCCATTGCTGCTGTACTCGCCAAGACACACATGGCTGTTTAAATTGGAATTCCAATTTTGTCAGTTTTGATCTGATCTCTTCATTTTTTTTAATTCAAAAAGTTCAAATCAAATTCATGAAATTGAAAGAAAATAATTTATCCCCCAGCCCCAATAGCCACAGCTGAAATGCTCAGCAGTCACATGCGGCGAGTGCAGATTTTCCCACCTCGGTGCCGGAGACATTTCGGACCAAAGAACTCTGAGGTGGGGCTGTCCTGGGGACCAGAGGGGGCTTAGCAGCGTCCCTGGCGTTGGTCCCCAAGTGCTGCCAGCCCTCCCACCCACTAGTTGCAGCCCAAAACGTCTCCAGACTTTGCCAAGCGTTCCCCGGAGGGTCTATGTGCCCCCAGTTGAGAACCACTGGGCTGGTGGCCATGGCCTCGGACAGCACAGCTGATGGAATATTTCCCTCATCACAGACCATACTATTGGACAGTCTGGTCTATAGGTCCTCCTCGTGTTGGCCCCTTTACAATGAAAACTTGATCCCCACTAAGGGTTTGGGGATGAATTTCTTATTTGTGAGCCGTATTGAGTCAGCACACGGAATGAACAAAAGTTATCTTATAAACGGGGCTATTGCTGGTCTGGAAGAACTCGTTTTCTTAAGAAAGGGTATGCTTGTTGGTCAAGAGTCGTTCTCTCTCGCTTCAGAGCCTGGCTCCGCTTGCCGCACTTAGGCATGTGCTCTCTGCCTTCTGTGCCTGCTGTTCTCACTGGCAATGGGGATTGTTTTAGCCAGCTTGGCTGCTGCCACGAAACACCGCGGACTGGGCGGCTTACACAGCAGACATTTCCCTCGCACAGTTCTGGAGGCTGGAAGTCCAAGAGCAGTGGAACGGGCAAATTCGGTGTCTGGTGAGGACCTGCTTCTTGCTGCGTCTTCACGTGGTGGGGGTTCCGAGGGCGCTCTGGTCTCTGGTGTCTTCCTTTTCCTATAAGGACACGGACCCCGTCATGGGGCTCCACTCTCACGACCTCATCTCAGTCTGATCACCATCCACAGGCCCCCATCTCCAAATACCGTCCCCTGGGGGTTGGGGGAGCACACCATTCAGTCCACAGCAACGATCATCAGGCTGAGCTGTCCAGGAGGCAGCGCCAGCACACAGTCAGCCTTCAGCAGATGGCAGGAAGTGGCTGGCACTGTTCTCAGTGAGGTGGCAGATGCAGCGACGGTGGCATGTGTGACTGCAGCATTGCTCTCTATAGGGAGGCGCTAGTGAATGTGAGCATTTGACAGATGTAACTCTCTCCGCCTCACGTGAAGGGCGATGAGCCGGCATGTCAACCCCGTGGGTTAACACTAGCTTGAGCTCCCCTTTTTTAAGCAGCCGGAAACGGTGTGGTGGGTTCATTGGCCCATTTCTTTATTAGGGCAGATTATAGGCACCTGGGGAGACACACTGGCAAGGTGAGCTGGGGTCCTGCCTAGAGGGGCTTGCTTTCTGTGGCGCTCATACCCGGCCCTGCCCGCTGCAGGCCCCGCCGGGCGGTGAATTTTGGTACCTGCTTAGCGTGAGCGGGAGTCTATCCTTCCATCCAGCCTTTTGCTTTCCGTACCGTTGCCCAGCAGCGTTCTCCGGCGATTTGGCCCACAGTGGGGCTTCCTTTAATTAGCCCTTGTCACGGCAGCTTTTCAGAAAGTTTTGCTTAAGCCAATCAAGCTGCTTTTTCAGTTTCGGCCACTGGCTTTGTTGCTCACTTCGTGCATTCGCAGCCATGTTCCCCGCACACAGCTGCGTGCTCTGTGATGTGACCCCGCACATCCCGGCAGCCTGCAGAGCACAGACGCCGGCTCGGTGCTTCTGTGCGCGGTGGCTACGCCCTCCCGGTCACTTCTGCTATGGGCTGGATAAGAAAGAAGCCGAGGCCTGGATGATTGCTCACTGATTAGAGCGTCGGCCCGGGCACCGAATGGTCACAGGTTTGATTCCCAGTCAAGGGCAAGTACCTCGGTTGCAGGTTTGATCCTCAGCCCCGGGCAGGGTATGTGCCAGAGGCAACCAGTTGATGTTTCTCTCTCTCCTTCCCTCTCCCTCTTCCTTCCCTTCCACTCTCTCTAAAAATCAATGGAAAACTTATCCTCAGGTGAGGATTTTTTTTAAAAGAGGGTGGTGCCGGATAAGAAATAAGCAGAGCCCTGGCCGGTTTCTCAGCGGTTAGAGCGCCTGGGGTGGGGGGGAGGGGGGGACCAAAGGGTTTCGGGTTCAATTCCTGGTCAAGGGCACATACCTGGGTTGTAGGTTTGCTCCCCTGTCTCCAGGCACATGTGGGAGGCAACGAGTTGATGTGTCTCTCTTAACATTGATGTTTTTTTCTCCCTCTCTCGCCCTCTCCTCCCTCCCTTCTCCTCTCTCTCTAAACATCAATGGAAAAAATACCCTCCGGTGGGGATTAAAAGATAAAAATGAAAGAGAAATCAGCAGAGCAAATCATTTAACTCGGCGGGGCCTCAGAAGTTGCCAGGACTGACCTATTAAGCTGGAGGCTGCTTTCCTCCTTCACTGGGCCACACTGTTGCTTTCTCTCATTACCAGGGAGACTCACCACCTCACAGGGCCCCTAGATCCTACTGACGTCTCACGCTAGGCATTGTGCGGGCTGTGGAGGTGACCGGGGTTCAGGGGGCACAGGACCCCTGAGCTTCAGAAGGGAGTCCGCCCGGCACCTTTCCCTGCCGGCTCTGGCTTCCACAGCCCTATTGCCAGGCCCGGCACCTGTGCCTTTGCCTGGTCACCATCACTCTGGCCCATTTCCCTTATTTGAAGACAAAGCTTATATTGCAACCTCAGCTTAAGACGGAAAGCTCTAGAACACTGATTTTCAGCCAGTGTGCCGTAGGAATGCCTAAGTCCATGGTCGGCAAACTGGCTTGCGAGCCACATGCGGCTTTTTGGTCCCTTGAGTGTGGCTCTTCCACAAATACCACATGCGGGTGTACGTACAGTGCGATTGAAACTTCGTGGCCCATGTGCAGAAGTCGGTTTTCGGCCTGGGCGAGTCAATTTTGAAGAAGTACTGTTGATATTTGGCTCTGTTGACTAATGAGTTTGCTGACCACTGACCTAAGTCATGCAACACCTGACCAATTAGTCAGGGACACCGACCTCTTCCCCTTAGGTCGTCAAATAAAAAATGACCACAGCCAATTGCCGCCCAGTGTGACTGAATCAAAATTATACCTGTTTCTTCTTGTCAGATCGACAAAAGGTATAATATACACTGAATGGCCAGATTATGATGACCACCCCATCAGTACAATGAAGTGAATTAGTTATGCAAATAATACTAATAAAACCTTGAGAGTATTTGCTTAGGGAGTTTTCAATATTCAGTATTTTTGGAAGTGTCAATGAAGTACTGATGGGGTGCTCATCATAACCTGGCCACCCAGTGTATTTTTGGTGTGCCGTAGAATTTCCATAATCAGTTTCTGTGCCATGCGACGAGAAAGGTTGACAATCGCTGCTCTGGAAAATAAAAAGTGCCAGGACTTAGGTGACCGAGAAAGCCCCTCCCCTGGGCCTTGCTGGGAAGCCGTTCAGCACTTGTAGTCAGGCGCTTTAAGACTAGGAAAAGGCGGCCTTGGTTTCTCCGGGATCCTTGGACAGGAAGCAGAGCCGGCGGGGGGAGTGTAACTTTACACCTGCAGGCAGCTCCGCTCGGAGTGTGAGTGTGCGCTGTGCTGTGCGCTGTGCAGAGGGCCAGTGTCTGCCTTTTCTTTCTCCTCTCCGTGGCAGGATCCCACGTTTGGGAGCAGCCCTGGTAAATAGGCCCCGCCAAGGGGACAGACCTCACTCCCCACCAGAGCCTGGTGGAGGCCAAGGAGGGGCAGGGGGAACGAACGTTCTGGATCTGGCCTTGGTCCTGGGACACCCAGCCCAGCTGTGCGGATGGAGCAGCCCCGAAAGGCAGTGTTTGATCAGATGTTACGATGTCACTGTACGCGTTTATTCTGTGACAAACTCGCAGGAAGGAGAGGAAACGGGCGCGCAAGGCCTTGCTTAACATTCTCAGCGAGTACCAGTCATCCGATCCCTTCCTGTGAGTGACACAGGCTGTGCACGAGACTGAGGCGCCTCGTTATTTTTCTGGTACTGAACGTGGCGCATGTTTGGAGGGAGGCATGCAGCTTGGGGTTATTTACTGAGAAAGTCTGAAAGCCTTTGGTCGGCATCGGGAAGGTGAAGAGCACACCCCTAGCGTCAGATGTTAACTCCAGCACAGAGAACCCACGCGCTGTTGGCCGCAATGGGGCTTCTCGGAGAGGAGTGCCAGCCCCGATTTAAGGCAGGGAGCCTAGGTTTTCCCTCCCAGAAACGGTTGTGCTGCGCCTGCTTCCCAGAATATCCATGTATTCTTTTCCAGAGCACCTCACCAGGAGTTTGGCCGCTCGGAACGTTTTCAACTAGGCTTGTTTATCTTGGTGAACTTTCCTGGCTAGCGAGAAAATCCATCATTACGCTGGGGTCCAAGTGAGGAAAAAAGAACCTTTTGTATTTTTTTTTTGAGTCTGTGTATGTTGTTAATTTTTGTAGATGGGAGCTGGCCATGAACACAGTCTCTGGGTTAATGATAGAATATGTACGTGTGTGTGTGTGTGTGTGTGTGTGTGTAATATATATAAACTTTTAATGATGGAAAATGTCAAACATATACAAAAGGAGAGAGAACAGTGTAATGGACCCCCTCGAGCACCCCTCGGCCCACTTCAGCGGCTAACACA